TTTCACAGTTGCGTTTTTTTATATTGTAGCTTATTTGAGATTCGACTCAGGACTGTTGAGGTGTGATGCTGTCGGTGTTTTCGCTTGGTTCTACTGGGCCACGGCTAGCTTTGAGATAGAGCTCGTTTAATTAGCATGAAGTAAGAACAGCTCTCCCGATTTAGCTCTGACCAATTTATGTTCCGTTTCGGTGGTGTAGTTTGTTCAAATCTTTCTTAATGCACCTGTGTGCAATAAAACAACGACTAAATCATATGAATTTTTAATTAGAATCTTATGAAAGTAAATATTGCAGTAGAATCATTTTTATTTTCAATCCTCAAAACATTATTTTCTGGAACCCCTTATCTTATGGGACAATAACAAATAAAGATTATTCAATGCAGTATCATTGTTTTTAGCAACAATCATGTTCAATGAGTGTACGATAACATATTTGAAGATTATTTCAATAACAATCATACAATATGTAAAACCATGCCAAAATAAATGTTTGCCGTTGGGGTTCCTAAAAGGAAAATCTAAATCTAAAGAAAAGCAACTCAGTTTTAAAACAGCAAAAAAGGGTTATCTTCCATTTAATTCCACTTAATTAATTTTGGTATCCATGACAGATACGTATTTCGACTACAATGTGCAGTCTTCATCAGTGTCATTCCCAGTGGGAATGACACTGATGAAGACTGCACATTGTAGTCGAAATACGTATCTGTCATGGATACCAAAATTAATTAAGTGGAATTAAATGGAAGATAACCCTTTTTTGCTGTTTTATTTAGCATTCCGCTAACAACCCAATTTCATTACTTTATTACTTTAACTCAGTTTTGACATTATGATCTTTTATTTACAAGTGAGTAGAAGTGACTCACGCACTGAGTAACTCTTGCTGGCCGTGTAGGCGTTCTAAAATTGCATGCAACTTTACTCACCTCGCAAGCAACCATCGTAGTACTAAAACTATACACATAATGGTTGGAACGTTATCCGACCATACACGACATTGAATCAATTCAAAGTTGAGTTCCATTAAGTCAAATTCACAAAAACATAGTTCACATAGACATAATAAAACAATGTCTTAAACGCTGTCCAGACTGGAGAGTTATAACATGTTATAACGGTTGTCAAATAATTGCAACACGGAAACCACCATCAAGATAGCGCTATAACATGTTATAACTCTGTAGTCTAAACTAAAGAGCCTGAATTTAAAAAGAGGCGACATCTTATCCATTTGACAGGTATTTTGCTCGATTGGAATGACTTTTCCTATGACTTTGACAGACATTCGATTCAGCATTGCCAGATATACCGATTTATCGGTATTTATACCGATTTCCGAGCTAAATACCGATATACAGATAAAGTTCCTCAGACTACCGATTTTTGAGGTTTTATACCGATTTGTACCGATTTTTTAAATAATCAAAATGGTTATTGCCTCAGAATTTCGGAGAAAATTATTGTGAGAGACTTGTATCTTTTTGATAATCTCAATTTTTGTTAGCTTTTAAAATTAAGAATCGATAAACAGTCGATGGCTCTTCCTGATAATTCCGGAGGAATCGGGAAATACTTTTTAAACATTATTTAACTTTTTGGATTTTCGTCTACCTTACATCGTAAATTATTTTACGATTCCTCTTGGACACTTATTTCGACTTCCCTTGGCTTCTTCAGCCTTTGCTCGAATGATTCTTCCATCTTTTCCCGCCAGTTTTTCAACATTCCCGGAACTTCAGGGATGCTTCCAGATGTTGATTGCGGTTCAACACTAGCTGCAGGAACTTTTAAAAAGTTCTAGGAAACATCATAAATATTTTGGATATTACACAAGTCTAAAGAACTACTGGAAAATTTAATGGTTTTCAGGACAGTTCCATTAGTTTCAGGAGAAGTGAGAGAACTTTAGGAAGCTCCGAGAACATCAGGACAGATCAATAAATTTCAAGGAAATCGTTGAAATTTTAAAGGAGTTCCGAGAAACTCAGGTAATTTCCGAAGACTTCAGCAATGTTCCGAGGGGCTCATGCAAATTTAAGAAACGTAAAGGAAGTTACATGAACATTAGCACATTGTGAGAAAATTTTATGGGAAGTTCCGTGCTTATTAATGGCAGAGTCGATAACTTTTAAAAATTAGAAAAATCGTGAAGATCAGAGAACATTAATGCTGATGTTACAATAAATTCAAGAAAATTGTGAGAGCGCCTAAGAAATTTCGTAATCAAGAAATTCTTGAGACCTTCAAAGTTGATTAGAGATATTCCGGCAGTCTCATTATAATCAGGGAAGTTCCAAGTATTTCAAGATGATCAGAGTACTTCAAAACAGTCCTATTAACTTAAGGAAAATTACAAGAAAGTTTTAAGGAATTCCGAGGAAATATGGAATATTCCTAAGTACATTTCAGGAATGTTCCAAAAACTTCAGGGGCATTACGGGGTCTTCAGGGATGTTTTATTACCATTTGGGAAATTTTCTGGATCATTAGAACATCCCCCAAGAGCTCTTTCTTCCGGAATTATGTCTTTGTTTCTTTCGACTGTTCCGTTAGCGCTCTGGCTTCCGACTTCCTCCAGAATTTTTTTTTCCTCTCTAACTTAGGAAGTTTCTGCCAGCGTGTCCAGGAAGTTTTTTCCGTTTTCTCCAGGAAGTTCAATTAATCTTTTCCCAGAAATTTCTTTCTGAAATTTTGTCCAGTTGGTTTTTTTTACTTCTATTGGAAGGTTTTTTTCCGAGCTTCTTCTGGCTTCCCCTGGAAATGGCTACTTCTGGAATTTTGTTCTGATTTCCGAAACTTTTCTGCCTTCTTTTGAATGTGAAATCCGTTTTTTTCTGAAAGTTTCTTAAAATGTTCGCCAGAAGATTCTCAATTTATGTCTTGAATTTTTCCGACTTCTCTCAGAACTTTCCTCAGGAGAGTTTCTTTCTCCTTTCTCTGGATGTTGTTTTCAGCTTCCTCCAGAAGCTAATTCAAACATTCCAGGAGCTTTCTTCCGGAATTTTCCGATCATAGTCCAAAAGTTAAAACTTTCGCTTTCAGAAACGACAAGAATATAAAATTAATTAAAATAGTAAATACCGATAAATACCGATTTTTTAAAACCTTTGATACCGATAAGCTTTAAAACATTCTGGCAACGCTGATTCGATTGTTCCAATTTTGACATGTCGTCTCTTTATAAATTCAGGCTCTTTAGTCTAAAACGCTGTCCAGACTGGAGAGTTATAACATGTTATAACGGTTGTCAAATAATTGCAACACAGAAACAACCATCAAGATAGCGCTATAACATGTTATAACTCTGTAGTCTGAACGTACTATAAACGTACTATTATACCATGTTCAAACGCTGGCCAGACTGAGCAGTTATAACATGTTATAACGGTTGTCAAATAATTGCTACAAAGAAACCACCATCAAGATAGCGCTATAACATGTTATAACTCTGTAGTCTGAACGTACTATCAGACTACAGAGTTATAACATGTTATAGCGCTATATTGATGGTGGATTTTATGTTGCAATTATTTGACAACCGTTATAACATGTTACAACTCTGTACCCGAGCAAAGTTAGAGATCAAATTGAAATCAGAATTTGCTGTTATGATGTAACTTACTTTGAATACTCCATTTGATCTCTTTTTGGTTGACTTAACGGTTAACACATCAAAAATGAGAGCAAAATTTTACACTGTTGAATCAAACGGAAAACTAATCCTGCTTTCAATGAAATCAATTTGATTACTGATTTTGCATTCATAATGTTCGACTGAATACGGGCCTGGTGTAAATGGTTAGCATCCAAGCTTCTCACGCTGAAAGACTTGAGCTCAAATGTCACCTCGGGTTGGTTGCGAATGACCTAAAATGTGTTAAACAAAACAATTAAACAATAATCGTTAGTTCAACGACAGATAAGCTTAACTTAAATCTTAAACAAGACGTTAACAGCAGAACTTCAAGTTAAGTTGCTTTCATTTAAAATGTCTTGACTGCATAATGAAAGCACAATATGATATCAGACTAATTTCGTGACAATTGAAATCAAAATGAGTATTCATTATGATAGGAACTGCAATCTTTAATATCGATTTGCTTTCATTTTGTTAACCGACTTTGCTCGGGTAGTCTGAACGTAGTATTACATTTTCCTCAAATAGGGTACAAGTCCCTAACCTGGATCAAATAAGCAGCTCAACAAATAAAATACCTGTAGACGAAGTTCCACTGTCAAACCAAGTAGCCACGAAGCCCGGTTAGGACCCATTTTGCAATTTAAGGGTAATATAGAGCTGCCAAGTTTTGTATCAACCATATATCAAGAGCGTCAGAGCCAAAAAGAGGCAAAATAAGTGACCCAGGGTTTCACGGCAGCCAGGAGTGTCAAGTATGTGTGAATGGCTTGTGCTTGCCACACAACACAGTTCCATGTTCCAGTAATATCCAAGAACAATAGTGGGATCTTGTGTTCAGATAAAAATATAAAAATCAGGGAAACTGAAGCAATACGAAAGTTAAAAGTCTTCAAATTCTCCCGCATTCCAATCCGATGAGTCACATCCGTGAGATTGATTATCAATTAGGATCAAACCGAACCACCACCAACCTTCATTCCAATTCCCGAAACCGAAAGCGTCGTAAAGCTCAACCAGTTAATTAAACTCCAACGACCGTCAATTCCCATGCCGTGCCGTATCGTAACGTAGGTACGTTAGTGATTTGCACCAGCTATCTGATCAATCTGGAACCGAAGATTTTGCAGCGAAGATAGCAGCCACCGTGGTCGTGGATCGCAGGGACTCATCAAGCGGATCAAAAAACCGGTCGCAATTATTACACGCTGCTGCTGCTGCTGCCGTTTTGCGACCGAACGAGCAACATTGGATACAATATGAATGTGTCGTTTCCTCGTCGTGGGTACCGTATCGGATGGATCGATGCAGAGAAGAAAACAAATTATTTTTTTAATTTATTACAGTAATTCGCTTCGGCTGTTTATTGAAACAATTAGTCTACTTTATCTTACACTGGGATTCAGTTGTGTATTTTCGTGGTTTTCTTTGATTTACACTAGTCTGTTTTGTATAATTTACATGAGTCTTCTTTAAGAATGGATCTATTCAAACAGTACGATGGGGTTTTTTTTCCTTTTCTCAACTTGTTAATAAATTATCCTTAGTCTACATTGTTTGATCCAAAGGTTCTAGTTTTGGGAAATCGATTGGTTAGTTTCTCTCAACTTAGGGTGTCACTATGTACAGAAAAGATTCCATTTAGCAATAACAGTACGTACAAAACTAGTTCAACAAATGCGCTTTTGTATGGCAAGATAATACTCTAGTTGTTCAATCACAAATTTCAATATTCACACTGTTCTCGTTGAGAGTTTCCGGTTTGGATTTGATCAGGCTCATGCCTTCCTCGATGGATCCCGTTGATGGTGGGTACTGGGACAACAACGGCGGTGGGCTAGTCGATTTGGACGGTGACGCTGACGGTGACGATTGGTAACCGTCCCGAGAGGTCCGTGGCACACAGGTAATGGTGACCGAGTCCAGCTTTTGACGTTTCTCGGGCTTTTTGAGCAGCTCTTCGATCGAGTATGGGTTGCGTTTCTTGGAGATGCTCGTCTGCAGGCGGGATGAGAATGGGATTAGATTGATTGATTGGAGTTTGGTAAAGGGCTTTACACTTACCCTCAAATCGTCGTGGTTGTCCGAAGAATCATCCGAATTGACATCGGTGATCTGCACCGGTGATGAACTGGTGTTGGAACTGGTTCCATCATTCCGGTAGCTGTCGCGTTGTACGGCGAATCCTCCAGAGGTGCCGAATGGATTGGCATAAGCGAAATATCCGTGAGGGAATGCCGCCGTAGGATCAGTCCCGGCCGCAACGCTGCGGTTGGCAGCATAGAACAGACTGGTATTCCAGATCCAATGTTTGGGCAGGTATGCCATCTGAGGCGACAGGGTAGCCGGAGTGGAACTTGACGAAGTAGGTTCACTTTTCGATTCGGCCTTGGGTGATCCTGGTGAGGGATGCTGTTGCTGCTGTGATTTTCCGGGATCTGCTTTGGTTGGTGTGTGTCCTTCGTGCTGGATGATGTTGACCGCTGCGGTTTTCTGTACCGGAGGACCGGTTCCCGGAACGTGGGCCGAATTGTACGGATGTGGGTGAATGGGTTTTCCGTCCGGCGATACGACCGACGCCATACTGTAACGGTACTGGTTGAGAAGCGCATGATGCTGCTCAAGGGTTTGGCTGTACAAGGGGTGTGTCATGGGCTTGGAGGTCATGTAGGACGAGGAGTGCGATGGATCACGCATCATTTGTTCTGAAAGTGAAGGGAAAGGGAAATTAGTATGAACAGTTGATTCAGTTGAAGGGGTCTTACTTAAAACGCCAACCAGTAATACAAATCAATTATTTTCAATGTCAGCTCGTATGCCTTGAAAAATCCACGGCCCATACATGTTTATAAACGTTTTAAGAAAAAAATCTAAGCTGTCCCTAGCTTGTTAAAATTCAGCAATGTTCAGATAACTTCAGGAAAGTCCCGAACTATGGGCAAGTTTAAAGATTTCAAAAGGTAAGTGTCGAGAGCTTCAACGCAGTTTGATAAACTTCAGAAAAATCTCGATGAAGCTCAGAGAACTGCAAGACAGTCCCACTAACTTCAAGAATATTTCAGGGATTTTACAGAAGCTTCAAGAACTTCATGGAAATTCAGAAAGCTTTAGGAATGTTTAAAGATCTCGAGAAATGACAAGAAAATTCAGAGCACCTCTGAGAACTTCAGAGCAGTTCCAGTGTCTGTTTTTATCATTTACACTCGCTCGCAAGGAGTAGCGCTTCAACGCAGTGTTGATGAATTGAGTTTGATTTGAAAATCTTCGCTGTCATTTACGAATGGAATGAAGAAATGAGTTCATTATAAATCAGTGAATACGCATTTGTTGATATTCACCGGTGCTTGATTATCCAACCCAAAATCGTCAAATCCAGAAGCGATCCTCAAAAGCTAAATAATTAGTTTATTTTGGGCAGAATCATTATTTTGAATATTGCCTACCCCAGAATCTAAAACCTCAAAATTATCATAAATTCCACTTGAGGCAATAATTTACCATGTGTGTTAAAAATAACACAACACGTTCTACAGCACAATGTTTGTGTAAAATGAAAATAATAATTTACAATTGATCCTTAAAATCATCCCGACCAAGATAAATTGATATTGACAACAACACCGGCGATAATGAAGATCCAGCCACGAATAGACAAACACAAATGTTGACCTCGATACTCAGAGGTTGCCTTGATCAAAAGAATGTTGATATGTCAAAATTCAAATTCATGCAGGTAGTTGGTCTATCTGTTAAGGTTGTCTTTATTTCCAGCTAAGTTGAGTGTAGAAGAAATTATTTGTATCAGCACTGGATCCATGAACATCAGATATATTGTGGGAAGTTTATTGATGTTCTAAGAATGAAGAAGAAGAAATTCAGAAATCTTCATAGAAGTTTAGATATTGACTGGAAAGTTACGTGAACGTCGGGGCAGTTCCGAGAGCTTCAAGGCAGTTCCATGACCATCATAAATATTAGAGAAGATTCAAGAACTTCTAAACGATTTGTGAACGATCAAAATGTTTTGAGTGTTTTATAATAGATCTAAGAACGTCAAAGAAGATCCGAAAAGTTCAGAGTAGTTCCAAGAATTTCTAGATCGTCAGCGAAGTTAAATTACCTTGAAGGGTAAGTTTTAAGAGCTTAAATCCATAGTTTTCTGGAAAATGTCTAGAACATCTGTGAATATTAGAGACCTTTAGGGGACATTTCTTTGAGGTTGGAAAAAATGCAGGAGCTTTACAGATAATTTATGGGAACTTCAGGGAATAGAAGAGTTTTTTTTTTAATACTTTATTAGCGAGAGTTTTAGCTCATTGGCTAGTTCTTCTCGTTGGAAAGATAAGAGAACTTCAGGGCAATTCTATCAACTTCACGAAAATATATGGAACTTTAATAAAATTCCGAGAACTTTCTTGAACAGACTGCGGGAACATACGGAATGTTCCCAGAAGTATATTTAGATCAAATCAAGATCAAATAACTGCAGAGTACTTTCATTAACTTCAGGAAAATTAAAAAAAAAGCTATCAAAAAATTTCAAAGATTCACTGCAAATTCCGTAAATTTTCAGAATTTTCCGAAAATCTATGGAAAATAGCGGGAAAAAATTCCGGAATATTATGAAAGTTCCTAGAATTTATTGACAATTTAGGGAGCATCAAGAATGCACTAAAAACTTCAAGAAAAGTGTTAAAACCCAACAATCAATTAAAGCTGCAGATCAATCTTATGCAACTATGAACAGCATTTAGCCTGCTCAATTGCATGTTAACTAGATTAGTAATTAGAGCTAGATTAGAGATTTAAAAAAATGTTCCGTGAGCTTCAAGGAAGTTTAGAAAACATTGAAAAAAATTCAATGAACTTCAAGAAATAGACGAGAGCTTTTTACAAGTTCTGAAAAATTCAGGAAGTGTGGAGAGCTTCAGGAAACTTTCGATAACTTAAGGCCAGTTCCTATAGCTTCAGGGAAGCATCGAAAACATCAGAAAAAAGTCTAGTCCTTGTGATCTTGATGAACTGGTTCTGATAAATAAAGTGCAGTTTTATTAAATTTGAAAATAAAAATCAAGAACTGCACTGGACATTTTAAAATTGCATTTACGATTTTGTTTTAACTTAAGGAAAATGCCAGGAACTTTTAAAAAGCAACACAGATTCATATAATTATGTTGAGTAAACGTCATTACAACCAAATCTAGTCATACAAAGGTTATATGAACTGTCATACAAGACCTGCACCGTTTGAAAAATTCATGTAAATTTCTGCGAGATATAGCGCACATAAAATTAGCGCTAGATTTCACGTAAATTTACGCGATATTCAGGGAAGCTCATTATTGATCGGGAACCTCTATATAATTTTAGGGCACTTTTTTAAAGCCACTTGGACTTGGAATAGTTGTGGAAATTACGTACAAATTCAAGAAATTTCATTCGTGAAATTTCGAGGAAAATCAACAAGAAACGTAGAAGTGCAGCCAAATTTGTAGAAGTTTTGCGAATTTCATAGCATTTTGAGGAGCTGCGTGAAACTTTATATAAGAGTAACGAATTGTGAAAAAGTTCAGGGAAGATCTAAAAATCATTCAATAAACTTCTAAGAGTTTCAGGGATCCTTGCTTCAGGTTAGTGAATTTCGTTGCAGTTTGTCAGAGATCTAACTTCAAAAAAGCTTCATGATCTTCTTGTTAGATAGAATTTCCAACCAACTATGTATTTTTTAATTAAATAAATTTAAAAACACTGAAAAAGCTCTTCCCCGTATACAGTAAGTGTAAATAGTAAATTTGTACCGAATGGGTTTAACCAAAACTAACTCCATTTAAAATTTCAAAGATATCCCAAATATATTCGATTAGTATCTAGTTACAAATAGGGGCACAATTATTCAAGTTTCAAGATCATTCCTTTCGAGTGGAATTAAAGTTAAATCTTGTGTTTATATATAACTCCAAATGTTAGTTAGTTCGATGCATCGGACAATAGTTTGTTCTGGATAAATGCTTTATTACTTTCCGTTTTCTTCAAATATCTAATTCATGACATTTCCGGTATTTATAAAACTTGATGAATCCTGATACAACCTGATTTTTCAGAATTTAGAAAATTTTAAAATTCAAACTCCAAGAATTTAGTATTGGTTCATATGTCTGAGATTTAACTGACGATGAAATATTCAAAATCTAAAAAAAAAAACTAGTTTCAAAATTTATGGAATTACCTAACGATGAGAATTTTCTTATGTTCGAGATACTAAAATTTATGAGAACCGGACGCTATGTGATATCATAACAAAAAAGCATTAACAAACGATTATTGCTTGTTCAAAATCAGTAATCGTTAAGGCTCCCCCAGGTCCCAATCGTTCTTATGAAATAAATATAGTCAAATTTAAAGTTTCACCATAAAAGAACTAGTAAACCTCAATATCAAATTGAATTTGAAAAAAAAAATTACCCAAAAACCAAGTTACTTTGACGTAATTTAATTGAAAAGCATTTTCGCGAGTTTTTATTTAACCGTAGTTAAGCAAAATATAGAAAATCCGCAGTTACCCCCCCCCCCCCCTAGGTCCCTCGAGATAAATTTTCTACTTACGCCAATGGCGAGGGACAAGCGTACAAAAGAAGCTCCTAAAAGATGAAATGCTCCCTAAAAGTACTGAAATGTGCCTATAAAAACTATGAAATGTTCCATATAAATCGCTTAAGTTTATGGAACATTACACCTTTTTTATTGGTGCATTTCATTTTGATTGTGGCTCCTTTTAATATTGATTTCAGAAGATTTCATAGCTATTGACGTAAAACTACGTCTTTGTCGACTACACTGGTCATCATAAACGAGTACCACTTGGTTGCACATCATTCTGCTTGAACCTGAAAAGATATAAATTAATGATGCTTTCCTGTCTCTGCTCACAAAAATTATCCAGGCCAGGATGGTGGAACTCAGAAATATCGATTTTGCCAACAAGATTCGCTCTCTCCCAGATTGTACAAAACCATTTTGGAAGATGACCGAAATTTTGAAAAATAAGTCGAGACCGATCCCTCCGCTTTCCTCTGTTGACCAGAACTTGGACCCATCCCTACTCATAACCCCAGTTGAAAAGGCCAATGCTTTTGGCCAACATTTTGTGATTTCACATAATCTTGACCAAACCATGGTGAACCCCCATGGGTCTGCCGTACTGGAGGCAATGTCTAGAGTCGCTGACACCCCCGTAGTAGTGAATGATGATAGTAGAATATCGGCTGATGATTAGAAGCACTAAAAAGATGAAGGCTGCTGGTATGGATGGTGTAGTCAACCTCGAGTTGAAAAACTTGAATATTCACTTCTTCAACCATTATTTTACCATTATCTTCAACAAATGTTTGGAGCTTGGCTACTTCCCTGCATGCTGGAAGTTAGCCAAAGTAATTCCAATACACAAGCCTGGCAAAGATCCTACCACTGCCAAAAGGTATCGCCCCATCAGTCTCTTGTCCTCCATCTCGAAGCTATTAGAAAAGTTGATACTCAGCCGTCTGCTGGTGTTTTCAAGTAATAATAACATCTTTCTTAAAGAGCAATTCGGGTTTAGGAAAGGCCATTCTACCATCCACCAACTCGCACGGGTTACTAACATCATCAAGCGGAATAAGTCCGTTTCCAATACATCTGCCATGGCATTGTTGGTTGCCGAGAAAGCGTTCGACAATGTCTGGCATGATGGGCTAGTGTACAAGCTGCATCGATACAACTTTCCGATCTACCTCGTGAAGATCATCAAAAACTACTTGTCGGGCAGATCATTCCAGGTCTACTTGAACAATGTCCCCTCTGATACGTTCAACGTTGATGCAGGGGTCCCTCAGGGTAACCTGCTTGGGCCTATACTATTCAACATTTTCACGTCAGACTTTTCTCCCCTGCCCGGGTGGTGGTATCCTGTCAATGTTCGCCGATGACACCTCCATCATCTATAAGGGTTGAGTGATCCGTGCTTTGGCGAGTAAACTACAATCAGGCCTGGATGTTCTGTCCGACTATTTCAAGAGCTGAAAGATTTATAGCAATGCAGCTTAAACACAAACCATTCTGTTTCCACACTCGAATTCACCTCGGCTTGTTCCGCCTGCAAACGTCAAGATCCATCTTGATAGCACTCCCATTGAATGGTCGAGTGAAGTAGTCTACCTTTGTCTCACCCTCGATAGCAAATTGCTATTCCGATCCCATGTGGACAAGACATCCACCAAGTGTAACATCTTGATCAGGTCGCTCTACCATCTGATAAACAGGAAGTCCATCCTATTCCTCAAAAACAAGCTTGCTGTCCACAAACAGATCATTCTGCCGGTTATTGAGTATGGTATGCCAATCTGGGAGAGTTGTGCTAAGTTCCACCACCTAAAGCTTCAGAGGATCCAAAACAAGATCCTCAGAATCCTTAACAGTCCAACGCAAACTCGTAATTCTGAGATTCACCACCTGGCCGGTCTTCAAACACTCGAGGAACGAAAGACTTCCACGCTGGAAAGGTTCAGAGTCGTCTGTCTGCGATCAAACCACCAGATCATCAGTGATTTGGCAACCTAGTTTAAGTAGTTAGGTAGGCTCCTGTGCTCAAGTAGGTAGGTTATCAATTTTTTTAATTCAAACCAAAACAATCCAATAAAGGGTATTCTGTAAATTAGCGCTAAACGCAATCATCACATTAGAATAACCGATCAACTAGAACAAAGATGAAGAGCCAAAGGCTAATCAATTGACATGTTAAACCAAATGTTGAAACATAAAAGAAAACAGAAAATAAACGCAAATTTTACTACGACTGCCTCTGCTCATTACCGCTTCGGACTGCGTGGCACTAGGTCCTGCAGCAAGTGGTTCACATATATGCGGATAGTGTACTAGCACTGTACGTAGCCAGCCAGCATAATGTACGCAGGGCATCAGCGTCTATCAGCATGTGCTAGTTGGCTAGTTCTCTAGCACTAGTTAATCCACACAGATTTAAAGATTTCCTAGAGGCTGTTGGCAATTATCCCATACCACTTTAATTTTTTTTTTTGTAATGTCAACTGTCTGCGTAGGGGATCGATTTGACAACCAGCGATGTCGAAGGAGAGATGGTAACTAGTATGAACAACGGAAATTATTTACACACCCCCCCCCCCTCCTCCCCCCATAATGGCAACCTGAAAAAAGACATGAGCTTTGCCGATCACCTTTTTTTCGATTAAATTAAAATAATTCCACCCGCTTGTCCAGAAAAAAATTGTAGTGCCTCTTTATATGCAATTATAGTTTAACATCCGAAGTCCATCCTTTTTTTTGTAGAAAATTTCATCGTTTTTATTTATGGAGAAAAAAATTATATTTACCGCTAAAATTTAACTTATTTATATGGTGACATATTTTCATTAAACATAACAACTTAAATATTGGCACAACTGCCTATTTGTTATGGGACACTTATTGATTTTGCAACAAATGGGATGCCATTAAAAACATTGTATGGGAAACAGAGAGCACTCAAAAATTCACATTGAAAACATTTTTTATAAGTCATTATGGCGTAAAGTTGGACTCAAAAAACTACAAAACATCGACTTTTTGGTTTTGCTGAGGGTCATTTTTTTTCATGATTAGATAGAAAAAATATTTTTGCATGTAATTTTTGACAAAAATCTAAGGAAGAAACTGATTTTCTTGAATTTCTGATAGTTTTTCCCAATATTTTTTGAAAAATATAAACGTACCGAAAATATTTTTTTTTATTTTTGGACCGGTTAACTTCCCCTTAAGTAAACTCTTAGGATTAAAAACAGTTGCAGCAGAAGGGTTATCTTCTTCCATACAGAAGTTGGAAAATAGATTTTTTTTGTATAAGTTTACATCACGGATCAGAGATTGTTTTGGTGTGGTTCTCAATTGATTACATTGAGAAAATTCAAATGCCTAAAAATGGTTTCCGAAATCATGGCAAAATTGATCATCTCGATCCCAGACACGATCCGGGCGTTAACGCATCATCACCTGTCCACCGATTAATCTCCTCAAATCAAAAAAAGCAAACCTTCCGTCTGCTCCAATATAACTGAAAATTTGCATATCATATCGCGTTGATGAAAGAGCCCGGTGAGCCGATTTCGCGCCTTCTTTTCACACCATCATCGCTTATTACTCCTTGGACTGCCGCTCTGCCGCCATGTACCGGCAATCACACACACACACAGAAACAACGGAAACAACCTGTTAAGAAACGAGGATTGCTTTTCCACGAAAGCTTACATATTCTCCTAAAACCCATTGATTACCGCAAACTGATCGCTAGTAGAACAATTATTATCGAATTGTACTTTTCATTCTCCGGGGGTCGGAAGGTGAACTCTTTCTGTAAGTAGCAAGCAGCAGACCTCACTAATGATAAGTTCTCGCGCACCATCGCCGGCACCGCCAAAAGTGTGTACTGTGAGTGTGCTCAATGAGAGCGATTACGCTTTTACAAACATGATCATTATCTCTCTCCTGGTGGATGACGGACGAAGTAATAACGAAGTGAGGCATCATCACCCGGGGAACGACGCGACGAGTGAGCGAGCACGTGCAAGCAAGAAATATGAGTGCAATTACTCATTACTTAAGGTTCCCTTTTGGGGTCCAACTGAACATGTGTGCGGTCAGGTCTTGGCCTCCGGTGTGATGTCGGTCAGCCCCAACGGAGACACCTTTTTTTCCGGAAGACCTCTAGCAGAAGGTGAAGACATAAACGCGAAAAAAAAACACACACACACACAACAGCCCCTCTGCCCTGATGATGTTGATGCTAATTCGGAGGAAAATTACTTTACTGCACTTTCTTGTAGAAACATGCCGGCACGAGCCCAGCCCGGCCTACCCGCAGCCGGTAGAAAAAGGATGATAAATTATGCAAATCTAATTAGAGTCATTGCGATTATGAAGTTAATGACGACGACAACGACGGTGATAATGATAATATAATAATTATTGTACAAAACAAACAACATCTGTCCCCTGCTCGAGGAGCGGCACTCACCATTTGACGTCATGTCGTCCGTCCAGAGGCCTCCGTTCCGCAGTATCCGATTGACGGAGCTCACCGATGGTATCGTGTTGGGGTCGCAGATCCGCTGGGCCAGCAGTTGGTCGCGAATTTCCCACGCAAACATGCCGGGATTTTCCTGCTTGAAGCGCAGGATTTTCTTCACCACCGTTGGCGTTGCCACTTGCTGAAACGATAAACGGGGAAAAGGCAAGCTTGAGTTATATGGTCAAATTTACGACAGACGACATGCATGCAATAATACATAGAACGGCAGTACCGCGGTAGGTTCGTGACCGTTTTGCCCGAACAAAAGACGGTAATCATAATTTCAACACTTTTCAATTATTTTCGACGGGCGACCAGCGACACCGCGGACGAGCGTGCAAGTCGTTATTCATCACAATACAAGCCATAACGCTGGGGGTACCGTAAATATTAACCTTATCGTGCGGTGCGGTGGCAATTCAGGAACCTGGTTTTGGACAAATTTACACTCTGTTATGTAAATCAGGTTGCTAATCGGGAAATTGCAGTCGTAAATCTGCGGCCCCGTGACTGGGCTAGGTTCGGGTTTATTTCCGTAACACATTGTTTCCAGAACGGACAATGATGCAGCAGCAGCAGGCCGGTTAACGTCGGAAGTTTAGGAGTTGTGAACGGGACTTCTCACGGAATGCAATCCGTTGCAATCGGAAGTTTTGCAAGGGTAAGGTAAGTCTTTCATTCCATCATAGGGGTTATGCATATATTATGTCACGTTCTATGGGTGGAGAGGAAGTGTAAGATTTTGTGACTGTGGTTTTTTTTAAAGTGACGAAAAAGGGGAGGCGGTAAATAAGAAAAGATACGTTATTATAAAATTTTATTGGGATTGGACGCTTTGCTTTTCTGCTATATTTTATTTTTCACTGGTTCTCCTTGTTACATCGAACATAAACAAGACAGTACTATGTCAAATATTGTCAATGGTAAACATAAATAAACGCCGAACAAAGGAAAGAGATTATATAAATAAAGGAAGTCCTCAATTGCTCAAGCCTTCAATAACTATTTAGAAGGAGTAAAAGAGACCCAAAATAGCTCTAGTTATTTCTAAACTCAGCCTACAAGTTTCAATTCCGAAAAAAAAACGCATCGAAACGTCATGAGATTTACTTTGTCATACGGATAAAGTCAAAAATGTAATGGGAAATTGATTCGCTTGGAGCACATCTTTTGTTTTGTAGTAGTAAAGTAGTAAAATTATGTTTATTTCTGTTATTTATGGTTTTACATTGTTTTAACCAGAGATAGAAATTCTCACTCAGCTGCACGATAAGCATTTCCTCACTCAAGCTACTTTTCGGTGAGTGATCAGTCTCTATATTCCCCTATATTCCCACGGACACCACAGTGTCCAGGAACCCAAATAAAAGCGGTTTTGTTGGGTGCATATTTCTGAATACCCTGGATCCAGGGATTCTTGGAAATATCCGATGCGAGGGCATCGACTACACTGGCGGAATCCGTGAAAACCGCCTGGATGGTGTAGATGCAGCGATAAAAGCAGCGGCAGCCTCTGCCGAAAAGACGGAGTACTGGTCCGGTACCGGTGGCATACAGACATTTGAGAGTCTGTAATTCCTATACCGACACTCCCACGGGCTGCAAAGCCGTCGGAATATCGGATTGTATGACCGTTGTATACGGCTCGTTGAAGTTCTGCTACCGATTACCGGGAGTTGGATCCTGCCCCAAACTTCTTCTTAATTGCCAAATCAATTACGGGTTTGGGCAGGCTCCAACCCCTGGCTCCGCACCAGTGGACTCTGGACACTGGAGGGAGCTTCAGATTGGCAGTTGCAGAAAAGAGTAGTTTTGGCTAGGTGAGGAGGAAAACTCCCTCGTCAGGGCCAACTGTTTTCTCGGCGAAACTTATTGCCCGCTTGCAGATAGTTTGTGTGGTCAGTCGATCGAAAGGAAGCATTCCACTCTCGATGCAGGCTGCCACGTTAGGTGTGGACGGAAGATTACCAGAACAAATGCGGATAGCTTCTCGATACGTGGGGGCCAGTTTGGAGATTAGCAGATCGCGGGCGAGACAAATGATTTCGATGCCGTAGAAAAGACGTGACTCGAGAATTGCTCTGGGTGCCGTCCAGCGATAGAACGGAGAAGATTCAGTCTGGTTTTGCAACCGCTTTTGACGTCATCGAAATGTGCAGTGAAAGTCAGATCCTGATCAAGACGAACCCCTAGGACGCGAACTGTTTTTTTTTTAAATTGGACAGCGGTTCCGTCGATGTAGATAGGGGTGATGATGGGTACAAATGTGAAAAAGGGAGCTCTTATCGGCTGAAAGCCGAAATCCGGCGGACAATGTCCGCAATGATACTGCCCTGGTAGCCGCACCCATCTTCCGACGGAGCGCCTTAACGGTGTCACTGATGGTAACGAGAACGATGTCGTCGGCGTATACGAAAATGTATATCTCCTTGTGGAGACCAATGTAGATGTTGGTCATGCGGATGAGGAACAAGGTGATTGCTATCACCGGCACTCCAGTCTCCTCCCGGAATGTCTTGGATCGATGGTTGCCCAGAATAACTTGAAACGTGCGATTAAGAAGAAAGTTCTTTACAAAATTAAGTATGTGCCCACCCAGACCCCATTCCACCATCTGGCGTATGACGTCCGGCATCCAGGCTCTGTTATAGGCTTTAGAAATATCGAGAGCTGCTAGTTCGGTATGCTTGCCTGCGGAAAAAGCATCGCGAAGAACCTGCCCAAGAGTTGCGAAGTAAGTATTTGTCCCGTGCCCCGGGTGAAACGCATGTTGCCGATGGTCAAGAAGATTCCGTGATTCAAGGAAGTACATTAATCTACGGTTAACCATTCTCTCGGTGATCTTTGCCGCACAACAGGTGAGGGAGATGGGTCGGAAATCCTTGGCTTCCCGACCGGAAGAACCCTGCTTCTGGATAGGAATGACTAGGCTGTGCTTCCAAGCTTGGGGCAGTGAGTCGTTTCCACATTCATGGTTAATCAATTCGAGTAATTTTAGCTTACCTTCTGCGGGAATGTTTCGTAACAGAGGGTAGCCCACCTCGTCAGGACCCGCGGATTCCCCCTAGGCTCGTCCAACCGGAAGGGCTGGTTGAGCTCCGATGGGGTTCCTTCTATCGGTATTTTAATTTCGGCAATGGAGGTTGACGATGCTTCATTCTGTCGTCGAAACCGTTCGTCACAGCCCGAAATCGCAGATAACATAGCGAAGTGATCACCAAGTACCTCGACGCTTACTGCAGGATCTCTGGTCACTGAGTTGGCATGGTGTAGTGCGGTACCTCGATTTTTTTTTTCTTTTACCGCTGAGGGCGTTGATCCTTCCCCAGAGATCAGCTGCCAATTGGTTTTCATTAATCCCGTTAAGGTATTCTTCCCAGCTTAGCTTCTTGGCGTCCCGAACAATTTGGCGGCATTCATTTCTCGTGCTCCGGTATTATGATAAAGATGTTTCTCTATCCGGATGACCATCTGGTAGACGTTTAGCGGCTCCAAGAGCTTTTCTTCTGGCTTTAACTGCAGATTTAGTGACGTGCGCCCACCACGGGAGCGCTTTGCGTCCGAGGTTTTGGCTGGTTCGTGGAATTCCCTCGGAAGCTGCGCTGAAAATTGATTCAATATAGTCTGAAATGTCAGTTGGGTCAGTGTCCCTGCTGGCTGCAATTATAACTTCTTGGTATTTGGCCCAGTCAGCCTGGTTGTAGAGCCAACGAGACCTGCGAGAGGCTTTCGGCGGATGATTATCGAGCTGAATTCCTATTGGATAGTGGTCACTACCCATAGGGTCATTACAAGTATTCCAGAGAAGTCAGTTAACGATGCTTGAGCTGGCAAAGGAAACATCCACTGACGACTACTTCTGTCCACTGGTGTAAGTGGGGGACCCATCATTGAGGGGAATTAAGTTGAAAGATTCGGCAACTTTCATCAATGTAGTACCCCTATAGTTTGCGGTTGGGCTACCCCAAGCTAGACCTGTGCGCCGATCAAAATATTTTCGGCGGCGGCGTGATATGTTATTTTCTGCCGGCGGCGGCGGCGTGGCGGCGTCACGCCGTTTGCTTTCGGCGGCGGCGGCGTGGCGGCGTGGGACGGCGTGAGTTTATTTTTAATGATTTAGAAAAAAATATTTTTCAAACTAATCCCACATGTACAAAAAATGCTACCCACATTTGAGTTCGGATTACTAAAAATCGCTAAAACGTAGGACACTCATAGTGTGAATAAATTTTGCGACACTTTCCCGGGAAAAACTTCTTAAATATGTGGAAAATTTAAGAAAATTTTACACACGTTTAGAAGTGCACTAGTAGAACGACTACAACCACATTCAGTTTTCCTCATATTCGAGAAGTTTTCCTCGGAAAATTGACTCATTCTATGGGTGAGCTACGTTACCTAAAAATTAAGCATAAGAAAAGTACGTTATGTAGAGGAGGATAGTGTTGAAAAGCAATCTTTTATCATTTATTGAGCATTACACGTTATTTATATGTTGATAGTGATAAATGATGTGCTTTTATTACTCTGATGCATATTTGTAGTCTTTCGAATATACGTAGGATCCCGCACAACTTGGACCTGTTAGAGATTAAAAAAAAGGTCAAATTTCAGCGTGTTGTTAAAAATAGTCTCTTATTCACCTTTATGTAAATCCGATCCTCGTCAGTAAGCCAGTGATTATTGCACAATTCTATTTTTGCAAATGCTGTAATTGTCATGAATTAAGATTGTTTTATCCACATTCTTATGGTGGATGCCTGACCGACGTGCAGATACGGTCAGCCCAGCTATGTTAAAAACTCGTTCACTTGGTGTGCACACGCAATACTTTTCGCGAGACCTTGCGAACCAAGGCTGCCAAGCTTTCTAATTTTCCAAAAGCAGAGAATATCTCCATCTACAACGTTGTTCGGGTATGACGTAGTCAAATATGCGGTGCTTAGAAACAGACTAGAATAAAATCACATTGGAACTAAAATGAAACTTTTCACACTAGACGTTCGCTACGTGATCGACTTTTAACTGGCACGTTTTTAACTTGTCCGCTAGCTGAGACAATTTGTCAGTTGAAGTACATTTTCTTCCAAAATGATGCAATTTCAAAATGTCAAGATGAATTGGATGAACACTGATGCT